AAATTTGAAAAATTCAAGATCAAACCAGTTAATTGTAAAGACAATGAAAAAGTTCATTTATTTAATAGCATTTTCATTAAATTATGCGTCCCTTACAAACATCAATAATTTGGGTGGTAGGTGTAATGTCTTATATAAGCGCTTAGATACAGTGCAGCTGTTCGCTTTAACTGAGAGAGCTAACGGGCAGGGGATCAGGCGTTGAACTCTGAACTCCTGTCATTTAGATGTTTACAATGTGAACTTTCATATTTTTTAACATCTCTTCAGACTTTTTTTTGTGAGAAGACAAACAGCAGTAGGGTGTTGCCAAGGGCTTAGGGAACAAAATAATTTGGTCGTTTCTTTTTCTCCCGCTATCAAGGGGTTAAAAATATTTCCACAAAATTCTAAATGATTTTCTAAAATTTGCTTGTCAGAGTATTTTTTTATGATATTTCCTTAAACTTTTTTTATTTATTATCTTCATCGACTTCCCCAAAAACTTTCGAAATGAAGTATTTGAAACATGCAACTATGAGTGTCAAAAATTTAGTTTTTCTAACAAGAGCAATAAAGATAAAATCGAAAATTTAGCTTGTTTATAATCCTCGTAAAAAATTCATGAATATCTTAATTATGCAGATTGACTTCGAGATGCATTTTTCAAGATCAATTTTCATTACCTTTACTTTTCTATCTATTATATTTTTAACGCATTATTAAAGTAACTTGAATTTATTTGTTTAAAATTACAGAAGGTGTTTACACATTTTTAGTATGAATTCAGTAAAGAATTTTTAAAAAGCAAACATTTTGGAATAAAATTTTCTGGCAACAACTTATGTGATATGTGACATATCGTCTGCTACTTTTAAATTTATTCCTTTTCAAAATGTTGCATGGAAACAAGCTGTGGATTGAAGGAAATGTTCTTGAGCTTTTCGAAGAGAAATATTCCTGTTCCGCAACTCAAAAATGTTGTGAAATGCATGGAATTAAAATTTTTGTGCGAAAAATAAGCAGCATTTTTCATTGGAAAGAAAATAACTCTCAGTCATTACTTCTGCATGGAAAGAAGATTCTAAACGAATACCCGAAAAAGGTACATACTGTTTCTAATGTCTCTAAAGTTAAATCATTGGTAAAAAAATCCGCCGACGCAAGAAAATAATTGCAAAGTCTTTAAATACATATGTAGCAATATTGTATAAAATAATAAACCAAGATTTTCAACTTGAAAAAGATTAATAATATAATGTTCACCAGCTTTTGCGGAGGCACGGCTCAACGCAGAAGAATTCGTAGAACCATAAATGTAAACAATTTTGAAGGAGATAAAAGTAAATACTTTGAGACCGTTGAAGAAGCATAAGTTTACGGACGGAATGACGGAAAAAAAATGACGGAAAAAAGTCTATTTACTATCCAAAACGAAGAGAAAAAGATTAAAAACCTGGTTCTGTCAATGCAGAGAAAATTTCAGCAAGTGATTTATGATTGTTTTAGAATTCTCTTACGATGGAAACTAAAAATAAGAAAAGTGGGAAAAAATGTTAAAATCAACGTGCTATCAAGAGAGAGTTTTACATCCGAGGTTTACAGAAGAAACTCCATTTCTTTATTTCAATGATTTTCAGAGAGTAAAACCTCATCAAGACAAAGCAAAAAAATCATACTTTAAAACGTACCACTCACTGCATTCCTTGAAAAAATGAAGACTTATACAGGTATTGCATATTTAGGTTACGTATTCCTGCGTAGTCCCATGACACTTCAACTATGGATTATTGTGCCTTTGGTCTGTTTAAACGAGCTTTTTCTAAGTGCAAAACCCTTCACGATTGACTCCGGAAAGTAGTGGAAGAGGAATGGAAATTAGTAACCCTAGAAATTTTACGAAAAGCTCTTCTAATCACAATGAAGAATTGTAGTCCAGAAGAAAGCTATCAGATCGAACATTAAAAAATACTCTTTAAATACTAATTAAACAGCCCCGAAAACGTTCTAAAAGTGTATAAATACTCTCTGTAGTGTATATTTTATTTCTCATAATTAGTTTAACACTTTTCATAACTGAAATTATTCTCTAATATGCACGAGTACGTAACAAAAAATTGCTAAGTCCATTAACTGATGTTAAGCAACGTATTAAAGGGTACTTTAAAAACCCTCAAAACAAATAATGATTTTCCATTTAAAACTAACCGTAGAGTTTTAAAGTTTTATTCACATATTTATTAAATTTTGTTAGCATTTTATTTCGAGCATATTTTATTTGAAAACGTGCATAGTTGTAATAGGTTTGATGGAGTTGGATGAATAGGAGTTTAACTATATTATAGGACTTATGAAGTAGTTCTGAAGAAGGAAAACAAAATATATTTGTAATCAGACTACTATTGTTTCTTGAAATAGAATTTGTCAATTTAAGAACTCAGAGAATATTGGCGTAATAAAAGAAAAAATTCGATTTTGAATCAATTTTTCGAAATTTTATCGACAAAAAAAAGTAATGAATGAGTTGCTTTTCCTGTAAAAATCGAATCTGTGTAAAATGAAAATATTGCGCCAATTTTATTTTTTAAATTGGTGTTTAGTTTCAGTGGAAATTTCAGCTCACGTTTGAATCCAGAGCACAATCTATAAATTCTGTGCTGTACTCGTTAAATAAATATAGCTGTTCACATCAAAAATATTACAAAGTGGTATTTAACATTCGTAGTTAGAAAATATTTGTCCCGTTGCATTCAAGATGTCATATGCTAAAAACATAACGCATATTGCACTGCTATAGAAAACATAATGAACCAAAGCAATTTTACGAATATGCAGATATAAGTTTATTAAATGCATTTCTCAAGTTTATATACACTGCTTGTAAACGTTACGTCACAGTGCAGGAATCCCTCGAATTAACTGAAACTTACAAGAAATGCAAAGCAAGTTTGATATGCATATGCTTAGAATTTCAAAGTAACAGCGCATGCGTGGGCTGAGCAACTTCTCTGAACTGTCGTTTCAACCAAGTAAATAAAAGGCTGAAACGGAAAATTAAAAGAAGTATTTCGTTATTTGGCCAGTTGGTAAAAGTGCCCCGGGAAATTACCAGGATCGATGATAAAGGCCCGATCGAGGATAAATGATGAAAATATGAAACACCTGCTAGAATGATACTTTCACTATCTTCGCAAATCGTATGAGACATAGTGTCTCATCACAGAAGCATGTCATCATACAAGCGTGGGTTGATAAGCACCTTATTCACAGTGCCGGACAGTACAGTTTCATCTTCATAGTTTGCTCAACATTGGTGCGCTTCTAAACGTGTGTTTTTGTCAATTTCAATCGTTTGAAGACCTCTACGCGCATCAGATCAAACAATCCACGGACCTCTCTCCGTGGACTGCGTGTATGCATTCATTTGTGCAGTATTCCTCTGAAGCAATGCCACCGACGCCTGCGGCTATAGTGGGTTGATTAACACGGACACTGGCTTGCTGACTGGCAACATATCTTTTCTAATGAATCCCGCTTCAACCTAAATAGTCGAATATCAGCAATAGTCGAGTAAGCGTTAGGTGCTGTAGAGGTAAACGCCTTTTTCCAGAGTAAATTATTCAGCGTCATACTGGACGACCGTCAAGCGTGTTGTCTTGAGTTATGATGTGCGACCCGGTTGGCTAAAATCTGCAGATACTCTTATGAGCAACCGTTACATCGGACAGGTTATCCAATACGAAGTCGTACTCTTCATTTACTGGAGATTGTATTTTTGAAGGATAATGCCTATCCACATGTTGCTAAAAGCATTCAAGATTCCTCAGCACGTCAGATAATGCTTCTTCCATGCCCAGCCCATTCACTAACATGCCATTTACTAAATAAGTCATGAACTTCGTTACCCGCAACTTGCTGTTGACTTTCGTCCCGCTTCCGGATAAACTTTGGGCTCGGATATAAGCAATAAAGAATGCTCTTTCTCAGCAGAGTGGTAGCTAGGGTTTTAAGCACCCGAGGACAACTGGAGATCTCTCGTCCCTCTTGTTAGTCACGAATGGAAAACATTTAGTTCTAAAAGCTCGTAACCCCAATTCGACGTCCTTGTTCCTCAGGTACATTCAAAACCTGATTGATTCAAAACCACAAAGAGTACCAGATATTATTTCAAAGCACAGTGGCTTCACTAAATATTAATTTTTGTAACTTTCTTGATTTTTGTAACTATCTTTCTTCTTTCATTTAACTTTCTTGTATTCCACTGTAAACTGAATTGATAAATTTAATTTAATTATTGTGACTCTTTCATGGTGCTGCAATTTTCACATCCAAAAGTGTATCTGGATTATGACCCTTCAAAGATTTACTAACTGGTGACGAAAATTTAGGAGGAATGAAATTGCACTACAGTTATGGAATTATATAAATACAGTAGGAAAAATGCATATGGGAAAAGCAGTAATGCATTAATAAGTATTGCTGAAGACATTTCTTGCCGCAAAAAGTAGAGTGTAGTATGAATTTATTCCTTACTGACATGCGATGAGTTACAATTTTAATGCTGATGTACTGAAATGTTACTTTTAGTTCATTCGATGCCGATGTTCTGATTCATGAGCATCTCGGCAATGCTATCAGTATGAAATATCTGTACTAATATCAAATCCTTGCTTTTGCCCCCTTCTGTATATTCTCTTGATCTACCGTCTTCCCCCTTTGCAATATTCTGTTGGTCTGCCGTCATTAATTTTTTGTTTCTCCCTTTAAACAGAACCGACATGAAGATGCTGCATTAATCTAAAAGGCTGTAGCAGATACGCTGAAGAGCATCTCAGAAAAAGCTTTTGATGCTTGCTTCCGAGACCTGCAGAAATGTTGATAATAGTATATAATAGCAAAGAGACTACTTTGGTAAGACTGAGGAATATCAGTTGGTGAGCTGAATATATTACTTCTTTCATCAATACCGACATTTCTCTGACAAAGGTAATATAAATATTACTGAGAAATGGGCTGGAAAATTAAGATAAAAACATTTTTATTTTTCTACAAAATATATATTTTTGGTACAAAAAAATCACAATATACACTACAGAAGTGAAAAACATTCTAATAGCAATAATACGTTCACTTTTCCTTTTGTTTATATTAAAAAATGCTGCTTGTAGCTGCTTGTTTGAGTCCGCATGCTAAACATATAGTGAAAACAAGTGCTCCAAGCTGCAAGAAAACATTTGTATTTAGCATATAAATAAAATAAAAAAATATAGATCAATTATGAAAGTATATTCAATAATTTACAATTGATTGAAAGATTACGCTTCGTTTAAATTACCTTAATATATTCTTAGACGATAGTGTTTTATAAGTATAATGATGCCTTACATGACAAAAGCTTTGTATAACGAATGATCGCATGGACTGAAATACATAGCGTATTACGACCTGAATGCGAATTTCATCAAATATTAAAGACAGAGATAAATTAATTTTACTTTCTTTTTTAACACTACAGAAAACGGGGAAGAAATGCCTGCACATAATAAGGTATAACTTGTATAGGAACGGGCAAATAAACATAATTCCAAATACTGCATTAGTATTGAAGGACTAGAAGTCTGCCTTGATAAGGAATATGAATAAATCCATTGGTAATTTTCTTCAGGTGAGGAGGAGAAAGAGAACACATAGGCCCAACCCTACTGTCATTATCAAAGACTTTCTGAAAGCTGGAAATTACACTTATTACACATTTCCTGAAGAGAAAATTTGTTTAATAAAAAGTGCGAAGATGACTGCGAGTCACAGCAAAGTAGTGATATTCCAATAAGCTGTAATGAATAAAATGGCTGATTTATTCAATGATAATGAAATTTCTTATTTCAAAATCATCCCGAGGGTAAAAAATGAACTTTAGATAACTTTTAGACCAATTTAAATTACATTTTGAAACCTGAACTCTTCCCGCCCCAAAATCGAAGGGTAAAATATGCAAAAAGGTAAAGCAAATGATTATTTGCCCTTTCCAATAACAAAATGGGAGGAATTCAACTCAGACTGCAGGAAAACACTGTGTTTATACATATATTGTTTACATACTATTTGTAAATATATTTTTCATTATGTTAGGCACCATTATATACTATTTTAAATAATATAAACAGTAGTTTGCCAGAAATAATAAACATTTCAAAATACTTTGCAAAATTTGACTTTAATTCTTTTCCTAAAAGCTTCCTTAATCATTTCTTTCTTTTTCTGTCAGCTTTCTTAATCATTTCTTTCTTTTCCTGTCAGCTTTCTTAATCATTTCTTATACATCGACTCACAATATCAGTAATTTTTAAAATAGGAATTTTTTATTGCCGTAAAGTCTTGAATCTGTAATAATGCTCTTAGATAAGTAGTTATAATACATTAGGACATAACATGAATTAGTAGTAGAAAATCATTTTAGAATCTTATAAAATTTATTTGTTTTTAAATTATAGTTTTTAAACCACATTACTTATTTTAGACAAATTTCGTCTAACTTTCAATATTACTGACGTTTAATATTATATATCACCTTCACAGAAATGAAATTCCTCAGGTATAGAGGCTAGACCAGTGTTTCTCAACCTGTTTTGCCCCATGCACCCCTTTCACTATTGCTAGCAGATTATTACCTTTCTCCCTCCTTTCCAAAATTGGAAGAATGTATATATATTTCTTTAGATTAGATGTTTTGGAAATTAAGCAAAAGAAGTTTTGAATGTTGATAAATACCAAAACCTGGATAAAAGTAATTTTTTATATTCATAAATCAAAACTACTACGCTGATCGCATTCTGTCCTAAAACTATAATATTCCCTCCCTCGGGAAGCAATTCCCCCCCCCGGCTGAAAAACCCTGTGCCAAAATACAATCAATTAAATTCTAAAGTAACGATTTTCTTGGGGTTATTTTAATTTCCTAATAGTTATTGTTAGTTTTGAACATATTTCCTTATTTATATATTATATTTTCTTATTTATCACTTTCAATTCCCAGCCAGAATGAATTCTGACGATCGCGTTTTATGTAAATGAGGTAGAACCAGTATTTAAGGCGAAGTCTCGGTTACTTCCGTAGAAGAGCTCAGAAGGTTTTAATACAGAGCGTTCTGTCTTCTGACCACGTCTTTGATTTATGCCAAATCTTACTACATTCGGCAGTATTGTTATGTGCCTGCTGAAACCCACCTGTGAGCTTTAAATAAGGGCCAACTGTATTAGTTATTTCTGTTCAGCTTCGGCTAGTTTTTAGTTTCTTACCATTAGTTTAGTTTCTTATTTTCTGTCTTGAGTCAAAACCCATGTGAAGGCTTCTTGTAACCCCGAGAGGGGCCAACTATAAATACTCTTCAGTAAAATAAAAAGGTAATTCAACCCTTCTTTGGACTTGTTCCTACAGCCTTAGAAGTAAGCGATTAGTCGCTACACACTTCTTAAGTATTCTAGTTGCCTAAGATAAACAATTTAGCTAGAATCTTATAATTTTATAAAAACTGTTTCATTAATGTAGGTAGAGGGATAATTTTATAAAAACGGTATTGTATCATCAAATGGAGGATTCTATAAAAATAGAAATTTACTTATGGTTCCCGTTACGCAAAAATTCTAGTTAATATTCTAGTTCATTAGGCTTTAATAAATTAGACACAAAGATTTAAAAGCATTTGTGTGCCAATTCGTATAAATATTAATATTCATATATATTATTCCTATATATACTAATAGGGTTATAGGACCTACTACGAAATTAATAAAGAAAACAGTTTTGCCCAGTGCGGAAGTATTAATTTCGAAAACGAACAAGTCTAAACAAGCTAAATAACAAGTTTCCCTCTATCGTTTGTTTTGGGATGTACCTCAGAATGTTTCTGTGCAAAGTCATTGGCATTTTGAAGTTTCTAAAGTATAATGTACATTTTACTAACCATTCGTTTTGATTTAGGAAGACTTTATAGGAAATTAGATTCTATATTTATAGAACCCTTTCCTTTCCAGTAAGGATTCGTTTTATTAATGCTTGAAAACTGAGAGCAGTATTTGGGGGCACTCTGCATTTATAGAGATTTTCATTACATCTAATTCCGGTTTTATAGGATATAAACGTTCCTGAAGAATGTGTGTAAAGAAAGACATTATATCTATCGAAGTAAAGAAGATTGGTTCTAGTTCGAAAACATCTTCAAAACTAATTTTAAAAATCTGAAAATATTCGTTTTAAGCTTATTATTTTATATCTCCAAAATGCACTTACAATAATATGTAATGAAAATGGCTTAAAGTAAATTTTCATTTTAAACGAATAAAAATTTTCATAAAAAATCTGTTGTACACATAACGAGATTTTATTCATTTTCATTTTCTGACGATAAGCAAAGCACAAGTTTACGTGCACCTGGAACATCCCTGTTATAAAAGAAATGTTGTAGTGATAACTACCTCTTTTTTTTAATTAATGAAATTCTTTCTAAGATCTCTTGAGCAAAAACAGCACGAGCCTCCTTCGGTATTGATGTTTCACCGATTTTACGAACGAATTCCTTATTAACAGTTGTGTTCGTGTTATGATTAGGCCTTTATATAGTTATTTATAAGAGGCTGTCAACAACTTCAATTGACGTTTAAACTTTCCAACGTGTCCTTCATCAGAATCTACTTGACAAAATGATTACCAAATTTTTGGTCCGTTGCAGACTTTTTTTATTAAATCTGCATTTATAACTAGATCAATCTTTTAAAAAAATATCACTACATTCTGTGGGCTTAACAATCTCAAGAATAAGTCCTAATATTTCATCACCTCTTAGGTCGCTTTGTCAATTAACAATTCAAATCATAGATGCTCGAATCCTTCTCCGTTACTTCTGTGTCACATTACATTGAGGCTGGAGAATTCAGTTTTATTAAGGAAAATGGGATCTTTACTATTTACATATTGTAGCCAAACCGCTTTCTAACAAGCAAGAAATAAAAATTTTTGTTTAAAATTTAGGACAAAAAGTTTTAGGAGCTAGCTTGGCTAGCTCGTGTTAAATCGAAATGATACGCGTAAAAAGAGGATGAAATGTTTATTTGGAACTGGCGTTAATAATACATCTGCAATAAAGTTGTGTAAATCAAATTCGTGAAAAAAAAAAAAAAAAGATTTGTGTAAGAACCGAATTTTACGTAATCATGTGAATTAATGTCTTCGTCATGCTTAGGATATTACTTTCAGTACTACCAGAATTAAACAACGAGCAGCTAAGGCAAGCTCATTATTGATTATATTTTTATAAAAGTTGGTAAGAAAATAAGTCTGCAGCTGAACGGTATTGCTAAACAGTACAGCTGAACGGTATTGCAGCTGAACGGTATTGCTAAACAGTACAGCTGAACGGTATTGCAGCTGAACGGAATTTGTACGCTGAATAATTAAGCTCAATATTTTTTGTATTATTTCAGTCAATGAATTGTAAAAACATATGAAAGAATTCTCCTATTTAGTAATTACTAAATAACTAAAAACAATATAAGGGCAATGAAAAATTTTCAGTAAATGAAGTTAGATGTTCTGAAGTATCAGTTCAAAAGCAATCTTCTGATGTATTATACATCTGCAGTAAAGTTGCACAGATATTTGAAAATTATTTTCGATTATACCTTGCAAAGTAAAAAAGGTCCAACAAATCTTTACTTACTTGTAAAATGAAAACGCTGACAGCTAAACCACCGAGAACAGCTGCTTTGTTTTTAAAATATTCAACAGTAGCATCAAAACAGCCCTAAAGAAGACAAAATAATTACATTGCATTTCAATAAATAGCTTAATAAGTTACACAAGAGTTTGCAGGCAAATTTAACGTCAAAGAATTTGCAAATTCTCTCTTTACAATTTAATCTTAGGTTACCGACCGTGTTTGTGACTACATTATTACATATTATTTTTTATAACAAATTAAATAATACAAAATACAAAAGATTAAACGGGAAAATCTTTTAAGGAAACGGAACTACTCTTACATACGCCCTCGCTTGGCGACAAATTTCTCGCCAAATATTTTTGGCAAGAAACTCCACGATGCCGAAAGCATTCGTTATGCATGGTCTGACACCTTCAAACGAAAGCATTAAGAGCAAGAAATGCAAATAACTTGAAATTTCAGGGGGGCACTTGACTGCATCTAATAGCTATGCTGCGAAGAAAAGTCTTATGCTGTGTAAAAGACTTCAACAGATCTTGTAAAAGTTGCATCCATTCTCTTACAAAATCATTCGCAATAGGACAAAAGTAAGCCTACATCTCTAGTCTGTAAGTCATTACTCATACTTCATTTCGAAGGAGATATAGTGGAAATAATTGCTACAGCATGCTACTTAAATTCGTTGAGTATGGATAAAATCTTCTTGTTCGTCTGCTTTAGTTCTTTAGGTTTCTGCCCAAAGATCATGATGCCACTGCCATATCCAATTTTCTCCCTGATGTTAGAAAATGCATGTTCTTTCTTTCGGATAAATGAATAGTAAGAATTAGTTTAAAATTTAAAAGCAGACACAGCACAGTCAACAGCATGCGTTCATTGTTTATTAGTTCCATTTGCAACATTGAAGATTTGTACATTAGATGGTTATTGTCTATTTGAAAAAAAGGGGGGCATCACAATCACAAGCACTGAGTTCTATTTTTTTGTATCAAAATATATAAAAGTTTAGCCTCAAAATTACTGGTATTACCGGAAAATTAATTTCCAGAGAAAATATTAATGACAAACTGCTGATTGAATCAAAAGAGGCACAATCCAAAAGAAACTTCCATACCTCTAAATCCACCTTTACGATAAATGCCAGCCGCCGATATCCAGAACGTCATATGATTCTTCTGAATTATTCGACGAGTAGGTTTCTCCGATTTGTCCGAACATATATTTCGGAAGAGTCCAAAAGTTCTAAGTCACTTAAATCTCATCTGCTGATTCCAAGTTTTCTTCTTTTCTTCGAAATTTCAAACACAAATGACACGTTGTCGGCTTTTACACGACACCAACATTTGACTGACACAACAGCAGCCTTTCAACCCGGGCCTTTGTCTGCCGCTTTGCAAGCGACACTAACTTGATGATACTGACTTTGGTCGCCATATTGTTCAAGACTCTAACGTGAAAACACTAAAACACTGGTCTTTAGTCCGAAGCTTTACTCGTAACACCAGCATGGTGAGGTCAGCATTTAACTGCCACTTGACATCTGTGTGGTGTCACTCAACGGTAAAGTGATAATATGGTGATAAAACAAATGATGTAGTTAACAGTTGTAGTATATGCTTGCCTTTTACTCCCCGAAAAAACGAAACAGGTTCTCATCCTCATGAGGCATCAGTAAACAATAGCAAAGATTCCACTTTCCTGTAATCATGTATCACAGAAAACGATATGCAGGTATCTGATTTTAGGGTAATTACACTAAGAAATTAATACGCGATAATGATGAACGGAAATGTAGTATGACAGCACTAGGTAACATGCGTGTATTTTCAGGAAGTTTATAAATAGCAGAGAATCTTCAAATATGGGATGATACGGGCTTCATGCTGCAATTACGTTAAAAGCTTTCGCTGCCGTTTAAATATGCAGAGATTGTTGAATAACAATCGAAGAAACAGCTAAGGAACTCAAAATCAATCACTTCTCATCTAATCACTTTATTTACAGCATGAGGCAGTGCCACCAAATCTCAGCAAAGTGAGTATCAAAAGCCTCTCCTTGCATAGCTTCTGCACCAAATAAACATTGATGAAAAATATTAGGCAAAACGTCAAGAAATAGTCAAACGTCAACTGGCAAATGAATACTTAGACTCTTCTAGGACTATAAGAATCCAAATCTGCATATAGGATATTAGGTACTATAACTTCATTAGGTATCAACAACTATAAAAGTTGCCTATGAAAGTTTTTAGGCGCCTTTAGTTTTATAATTGTATGCCGTAGATATATATGTAGGTAGATCCAAAATTTTCTAACTTTTCACATGCAAAAAAACCGTTATAGCAACAAATTCACTTTGCAGACATAGAGAAGTATACAGAATGAATAAATCTGGACATTTCGTCAGTGAACTCGTCTACGTTCTTTTCTGACTGTTTAGTGTTAAGTGATATGTTAGTTTGCTTTAAGATGCTTAAAATTGCGTTTAATTTTGCGATTGAATTTTTGACTAAGGGATGTGTTAATCCTAACGCAATAAAACAACGCTTGGGTCATGTGTATGGTGGATTCATCTCTTTTTCATTTTATATTGAAAGAATAGGTAAAACAATTTCGTGTAGTCGGATGCTGTAAAGTCATTATGATTTTTATTGAAAAATGAGCGGTTTCCTCGCAGGGATTCGAACTTCGGGCCTCTCTGTTGCACCATGAAGCCCGGCTCCACGTACATCCAATTACAATACAAAGGCATGCGAAGGTGAAAGTACCTCACAAGATAGTTCTTGTAAAAAGCTAAGAGGCAAAGATAATCAAAAAATACTGCTTGTGGCCAGGAGGAAATACTTAATGACTCAGAGATTAAAAGTCAAGAAAATAGAAACAATCTTAGATCTATCTAAAACAACAGGTTTTTTTGCATTCTACATGAACACCTTTTCAGGAATGAAGTCTGTAAAATGGTATCTCAATTTAACTATTCAAAAACAGCACCTGGTCTTTGGCTGTGAGCAGTGTTGCAGCTTTACATTGAAAATCAGAAACATATCTATCACCGTTAGTCGATGCTAAACGGTGATAGAGAAATTGTTCTATATTATGATCCCCTATAATGAATAAATAAATGGAAATAAATAGAGAAGAGAAAAACTAGAAGAAGCATCACCAAGAAAAGCAAAGCTGAAGAATCAACAAAGAAGATAATGGCCACCAAATTTTTGGGGGATTGAGAGGGTGAGTCTGTCAGATGATACTCCTGACAGACAAAAAATAATGAAAAAAAATCAGTCATGTAGAATATTATATAAGCCTTTTGCATGATTGCGCATGCTAGTGAATCTTCTCCATGATAATGCCTCTGGGCATTTAACTGTCATTGCTAAAGATGCAGTCAAGAAATATAGGTTTAAGGAATTTAGTCACTTCCTAACAGTCCAAATTTAATTTCAAGTGATTATTAGCTATTCTCCAAACTGAAATCTGACTTTTGTGGAAAGAGATATAATTATGATGGTAGCGTTAAAAGAGCAGTTATGGAACATTTTGAACACAAATCTTCGGATGACTTTTCAGGGGCAAAGAGTTCCTCGTTAAACGATGTGAGAAATGTATTGAAGTAAAAGGATATTATATATAGATGTAAAGTACTAAACATTTTTCTATTTCTTTTCGAAGTATATCATATTGCAAACTTTTGGATCTACGTACTTCCAAATGCAAAACAGGCTTTAAATGATATAAAAGTCATCTATTTTTATAGTATATTTTTTAATTTAAAAACTCAATTTTCGTGAAAATTAGAAAATCTTACTTTTTATATGGTTTCTAGTCCATATAATTGTATTTAGCAAACGTTTGCATTCATTTTTAAAAATTAAAGCACAAAACTCTGGTACAAAAAATTGGCCGAGATATTTAATTAAAATTTTGATATTAATTTTGATATTTCCTTGTCGGTAATAGATTTCTTTGAGGAATCAGTTAAAAAAATAAATTAGAATAATTCAAGAATAATTTTTCCCTTATATCATTTAGTAATTTTGCTTTATAACTTACTAATGTGTAACATTCTTCAATTTATAATTTTGTTACATTTGGTATACCGAAAGCATTTTCACTTAAGAAATGCGTAAATTTTAAATGCTGAAAGTATATTAATAATATTCACATGGAGTTTTATTAGTTTAACATCATAACCTAATAGTTATTCAAACATAGAAATATTATTTATTTTAAATTTTGGCAGATAATATGCTAACTCATTTTCTAGAATTCGTCCTCAACTAGCCTGCTACTGTTTTCTAGACACCAGTTCTATGAAGTTCTGCGAATAAGATCTCCTTTTTAGAAAAATTGCATTGATCAAATCCCTTCACAGAATAATGCTCAATAATCTCATCGCTTAATCTATCAACATCAGAAACCTTTCTTTAATATAATATTTCTTTTTTAGTTAAGTACAAATTTAAATATTTTTCTCTTCAACTTGTGTGTAACCCGAGAATTTTCAAGATGTATATCTAGGAGCTTATAGTTAAATATCTCGATCAATTTTTGTCCCAAAGCAAACTGGACTGTTAGGAAGTGACTCTGCAGTTAATCTTTTAGAAGGAGAGTAAAATTTTATTAAATATAACTATATGGATCTGCAGAAGTATTAAAAGTTAGATTTTGTACATTTTATAAAGTTACTTTTTTAAGTTTGACCGTAACATAAATATTTTCCTTATTTTACGCATTTTGATAAACATGTGTCTACAACAACGGGCTTGATTATTTTCTAGAAGCCGAAAAGCCTGCGGGCTTAATTATTTTCGACTTCTAATTAGAAGCCGAAAAGCCTGTGGGCTGTGAAAAACTTTATGGACTTTAAGAAATATACAAATTAATTATTGAGTACAATTGCAGTATCGGTGAACTGCACATTGTAACTCTATGCTCTTTGTGCGAGAAGTCAATGAACAGTAGCATTGTAATGTGCTTTCTGAGAAAACTGAAAACGATTTTTACCTATCAGTAACACTCCAGTGAAGATCGTACTTATCAGTAAACACTCCATTAAAACTTATTCTTCCTGAAAATATCACTGAGACATTAATTTATCAGAACCTTTTTAATTATCAGTTTATCAGACAATGGAATACTGATTATTAACTGCTGAAAATCTAGAGACTCAATAGACTTAATGCATATTTAAGAAATAGTCACTGTATAAAAAGAATTTACATAAAGCATGTTATAATTATTTACCTTCTTCCATATCACAATTTTTTTTAATATTTTAATTTATTTCTTTAAAAAGTAAATATTAAATATAAACTTTTATTAATATATCGACTTTAGGGTGGGCTTCATGCCACGAATGAACGAATATATTTGAATATAATAACACGTCGAATGTATAATTTGAGTTATACGTTATAATAATTAATATATCGAATTAATGCATTAAACTAAATTCATTGAATACATTATAATAATAAATGCTTTATGTAATAATTTATGCATCGAGTGTATGACTTCTAATGAAGTCTCCTGTCTTTCAAAGAACACGTTATCTTGTTGTCAAAAAAAAAATCAAAATAATAAATTACATGAATTTTGGTTTATTTGAAAAGATGAAAAAGAAATAATCTGTATTAACTGAACATGATCAAGTTATTGAAAAATGGAAATTTAACATTATTTCGTTTTCCATTTTAAGAGCTTATACTGTGCTTTAAGTAAATTTTTAACATATCCAAAACCATACTTTTTTTATAATTACTTATTTTCCAAGTGATTTTATTTATCTTAAAAGAAAATGTTATAGTGAACCCTATCCATTTGTTAATATTCTCATTCCCACATAACAAAAAAAACTGTGGCATACAACAACATACCATTAATGCAAATAACATTAAGCTACGATTTACGAAAACAGCAATATTTTTAAAACATTCTGAAAACTGCTAAGAACGGCTCATCTCAGCTCCAAACAGACCACATCTCCAATCTCTTGGTAAAATATTCAAATATCTTGTTAAATCGTTAAATTAGAAATCTATTAATTTACTTTAAACAGAAAAACTGGAAATCATACTTTTTGATAAGGTCCTCCTGTTTCATCGTTCGTACATGAAGTTGGAATATGCGTCGGTGTTTTTTCATCTAAACTGTAATCATCAGGACCATCAACTCCACAACATTTCAGCTATAAATGAGAAACAAGATGATGTAAACAAAAATCATTAATTAAGACTACTTTCTAGATCAGTATAACCTGTTACAGCATTTGGTAGATGAAGTAATAGCTGATATTAAAATGAATGAGATTATTGCTATCAGTAGCGCAATGGAAAGTTTGAGTCGATAATAATCAGTTGTTGTTGTTGTTACTAATCTCCATGTCTAGGAATATACTAGACGAGGTCCACGAGTCCATTCACCTTCAGAAAATCAAAAACAAGCTTAGGAGACTTGTAAAGGTTCTCAAGAGACAACTCCTGGCACTCAAGGATATGTGCCGGTGATGCCGGGCATTTTGACATTTAGAACAAATTGGGTGCATCTTGAGACCTCTCTCATAAGTAAGTCCTTTCAGATGTCCACTGAAGAATCGGGAACTGAAAACATCTATCACAATCAATAGCGATACCAGGAATGACTCGGGGAAACGAGCCAAATTTACCTGTGTGCATGCCTTCTGATGGAATACAGTTCAAGATATGTCAATGAATTGGTAACCGGTAATGGTTCTTCAGAACCCTCCTTCGCCAGAATGTCTGCCATTTCATTCTCCCATACGTCAACATGGGAAGGAATCCACTGAATCCTGGGTTTGGGGCCAAACCCAGGCCGCTTGGAGGGTTAAGTGCTCCCGTACCTCCCAGATACTATACTCTTCAAAACATCCATCTCTTTTCCAGAATTCGAACCCGGAGCGTTGCTAATCTATATAATGATAAAGGCGAATCTGGAAATGGCAGCGGAATCTTTGAATTACAATTGAATTTAACAACCCATCCGTTCTATTAAACCCGTAAAGTTAATCATAGAACGTCAAAATAAATCGCAATAATATCGGAAATGCAAATAAATAATAATATGCAAATAAAATCGGAAGCTTAGGGCTGCAATTTAGTTTTGCATTATTTTGTGAACCATATATTTAATTATTTGAAAGAATCATATATTTAATTATAAGTTTTGATATCTTGTTCAAACGACCTAAATGGCACGAAGTTTTGCAGGAACATAGCACATGATTCACATGGATTCTGGAATATACAAGATGTCTCATAAGTTTGGACTTCAAAAAATGGCATAAAATCATCAAATTTGTGTAGTGAAGGGCTACATACCTTTAAAGACTTATCCTAAAAGGATTAGCGGATTTTGTTTGAAAAAATGTATTTAAATTACCACTGACAGATGGCACTGTTAGTAGTCACTGTAAAAGTAGAATGTGAAAATTTAAGGCTTGTAGCATTTATTCATGTGTATTTATGAGCACCATACAGTACTGCCAATAATGTAGCCGTCTATTAAGTGCTCTTAATATCACATCTTCTTTAAAAAAATTAAATTACTCATTTTCGTGATATTGACAGCAGAGTAAAAGGCGAATTTGAACTAAAATATTCTCCCATTCTTCCCCAAAATAAAATTCTACAACTGTAATAAAAAATCTTTTATGTGCAAACCTCACTCTAATCGATTTTAATATCTTTTAAAATATACCCAAATTTATTCTCGCACAACAGTTAGGATAAAAGTCTTTAAGCTAAAAGATCTAAGCATTATTAATATCTGTGGATTTTGAGAAAATGTATGCTTTGCTAAAAATGATCATTTATGTTAATTTGAATCGGTAATTTATTTTAATGCAACTTTTTAGTTTTAATGGTCATTATATAATTCTTCCCATCTTTGAAATCTAAATTCCTCCCTGATAAACTTTAAACACAATAAGAAATTGTTGATTTTTAAACGGGTAATACGTTATTCCAATAAATAATTCATTCGTTTTTATCTCTCATTTAATTTTAGATGATAATCGCCAACAGTGAAATGAATTGGCCTGGTGTTTTTCTTAGGGAAGGAAAAAGGTTGATAAATTGTATTAAACGCTAACACTAATACCTGTAATACAACCTCTGTTAATGAAATAATAGTTCTTAAAAAAGAACATCTGAAAATCTTCAGTTTCAATCTTCTCCTGGTAGTTATTGAAACTGGCGATTTGTGCGTCTTTGAAAAATACTAAAGTACAAGTTTTCTTTAAAGTCATCCACAGTTTGGAGAATTCTGTAAAGCATTTTTATCTAGTCTGGAGTGAAATGAAAATGAATCATAAAAAGCTTTAAAAATGTTGGTTTAAAAAGATTTCAGTGGATGTTTTGAACGATGATAGTTTCGTGAATAAAATGTGAATGGCTTAAAAAAAAGAAGTTGTACTTTAGTTTTGAAAATATCTTATACGAAAAAGGAATAGATTTATAATTAGAGGCCAGAAATGTCTAAGTAAGAGACCCTGAATTTTAATCCAACCCAAATATAGATTCTCGAGAATCAATTGTGAACGTGCTGACTTTTGTGGCTTTACTCGGCTGCTTTTTTAATTCATAATGAGATAAAAATTTAAGATTAAAGTTAAATGAAGCTTAGCCTCTTAATGTAACTTGCACTAGTCAGATCTAGCACAATACGAGAATCTACGTTTTTAGTTATTGGAGGAAATTTTTACGTTAGGTGAAGACTGTCAAAGAGTATTCTACAGAGTGTAAAATTGTTAACAAGCAAAGTTTTCGCAATTTTAATTCGCGAAATGAGTTAAATTGTTTATTAAGAAGACCTTAGTTATTAGAGAAATCCTGAAGTGTCGCGGTTTATTTAAAATAAGCATAGCAAATGTTAAGAAAAAAAAACTACCTTAGACTGTAACAAATCAATCAAATATCGCTTTCCATCGTCTTTTCTCATCTCAAACATAGCCTGTCTTGCTCGCAGTTTAATATCTTCTTTCACCTGAAATGCAAAACAAAAACCTTCACGACTAAACATTAATAATCAGTGACTGAGCATTCAAAGATTATCATACCTTGAGAATATGACCAAAATGAAAAAGAAAAGCATCAATTCTAGACAACATTTAAAAAAAAACACAGACAAGAAATCGATAGCTTTTGAACAAACACAGACGCAAAATATAGTTGACTGTTGAACAGCATCATTTTTAAACTCTACTGCTTGTCTGCAAGGTTTTTGATTTAAACGAGAGTTGAAATTTGAATAGTGGCATCTCTTAAAATAATAGAAGTTTCCAAAATAAACTAAGAAAATTTTAATATGGCACGTATATGATATTCACATAGATAGCAAACTATTTTGTAATTTTTTCTAGAACTCTGTTCAAAGAAAATTTGTTTTTGATGTTTTGTGTTATTAATGTGTACAACATTTACGGTGTTTCCTATGATCGGATTTAATATTGATGATAATACAGAGAGATAGAGATGATTTTAACTTGCCAAAGTGGATGTAATGCAATGTAATATATGAAGATTAACGCAGCACAGCCAGTACAGATTAAAATAAAAACACAGCAAAATTCCCAATACAGCAGAGTCCCGAAAACTCGACAACTTTTTAGGAACTTTTTAAACATATCTCTAGGCCAAACAGAGCAAATATTACATACAGTGTTGCATAATCGAGAAAATATTGTTAAGAATTTTATTATTACTATTTTTATTATTATTGTCTATTTTTCAAAAGTGTGTTTTTGTTTTATTATTGTGTGAAGTTGTAACTATATGTCTTTTCTTGTGTGGCAACAACGCTTCTGTAATTCTTCAATTTGAACTTTTGGATGTGTGCCAGGTTTGATGGCGTGATGCTCTGGTGAGAGCGTCGATTGATTGTGTAGATGAAACATGTTGTTTCAGAACGTTATTTCTTTAAAATATGTAAAATAAATGTTTTGTTTTCTGAACTCGGATTATGCAAACGTTATTTAGTTTCAACATAAAAGTTTGGCGTCCGTTTGACAGGACGTTTGTGTGATTTCGAGTAGTTTTGATTTAGGCGTTTTGTTAAAATGGAGTTGTTAAAAGGCAAAACGTAAAAGTGAACGTACTTCGTTTACGTTAACTACGAAGATTGTGGAAGAAGAATTGCCTACTTGTACGGATCCTGAGAGATTGCAAGTGTTGTTGGGGCAACTAATTGACAAATTTGAACGCTTGGACAGTACTCAAAGCAGTGTTTTAGAACAAACCAAGGAAGCTGATTTCGAGAATGAATTTAATACGGCTGAAGGATACAGAGATTCCTTTATAGCTTTAAAGGTGAAACTTCAGAATAAAATTGGACAATTGAATTCGATGAATGTTACTACAGATATTGCTTCAGTTTCGATTTCGGATCCTAAAGAAAATAAAAACAGGAAGTTCAAACTTCCTAAACTTGAACTGAAAAAATTTTCTGGAGATGCAAGAGAATTTTTAGGCTTTTGGAGCCAATTCTCCAAAATTCATGAAGATGCGGATATTGTGCCGGAAGATAAATTTTTGTACTTAGTGCAAAGTGCAGTACCTGGCTCAAAGGCAGCTCAACTTTTGAACAGTTTTCCTGTTACCGCCGCGAATTATCCTAAAGCTATCGAGCAGCTGAAAGAAAGATTTGGTAGAGAAGACCTTCTGGTGCAGATCTATGTAAGAGATTTGCTTGGGCTTGTTACAAAGAATGCTACAACAGGCAGAACGGCGTCGGACTTAGGAGTACTTTATGATAGTATAGAAAGTAAATTACGAGCGCTGGAAAGCTTAGGACGCACCAAGGAAAAGTTTGCTGATTTCTTGGGACCTTTAGTGGAGTCGTGCCTACCTGAGAATATTCTACGTGCCTGGGAGCGGAGTCGAACTTCTGAACAGGGACAGGAAAAGAGTTCTGAAAGAACGCTTGAAAAACTAATGTGTTTTTTAAGGCATGAAGTAGAATCGGAAGAAAGAAATGATTAGATTAGCACAATCAGGATTTACTCATTCTGTTAAGCGTCTTAATAAAAATGTTATTTCAGGTAATTCAGATTTAGCAACAGCTGCCGCGCTGGTAAGTACAAATGAAACCAGTAAAGGTAAGCAAAATGTTTGTATATTTTGTGGTAAGCCTCATATGAGTGCTAAGTGTTTTAAAGCTGAAAATATGAGCTTAAATGAAAAGAGGCAACTTGTACAAAAGAAAGGTGTTTGTTTTTCATGTTTAAGAATTGGCCATTTAAAAAACCAATGTAAAGCCAATATTAAATGCCCCATTTGCAGTTGTGATCATATAAAATTTATGTGTCCTCAGAATGTTAGTTCTGTAAAACAAAATGACTCTAAGTTGGATGTTTCCCTTTCTAATAATAGTAAGAGCGAGAAAGTTTATTTGCAAACTTTATGTGTTCTAATTAAAGTTAAAGATCGAGAGAGAAAAATTAGGATTCTCTTGGATTCGGGATCCCAACGATCATACGTTGGGGAGAAAATTATGAAGCGAATGAAGGCTGATCCTATTCGACAGGAGAAAGTAATTCATGGTTTGTTTGGGGGGAGGGAAACTGCGCCTGTAACCCATTCTGTTTTTGCTATTGACATAAGCAGTTTAGATAACACTTTTAGGTGTTGTTTTGAAGCTTTTTCTGAAAAAAAAAGATATGTGGATTTGTTCCAACAATCAAGAATGCTCAGATTATAGAGGAATTGAAAAGCAGGAAAATTGAGGTCAGTGACACATTTTGCGAGGAAAGTGAAATTGATTTATTGATAGGTGCAGATGTCATTGGTAAACTGTTAACTGACGAATACCTAGAATTACCCTCTGGTTTAACTGCAGTCAAAACAAAACTGGGTTGGACGGTTATGGGTAAAGAAAATGATACTGTCAGGGATAATGCCCTAATAAGTCTTTCCTTACATGTAAATAATGCTTCTTTGAAATCTTTATGGGAGCTTGAAGTTTTGGGTATTTCCGACCCGACGGAAAATAGTAAAACGAAAAATCTTCATTGCGACTATGAGATTGATTTTCAGAATAAATTATCTATTCGGCCCCGATGGTAGATATGAATTAGAATTACCCTGGAAATGCGAATCTACCAATTTATCAGATAATAAAAGCATTGCTTTGACACGTCATCAAAAAATGATAAAGAGGGCAAAAGAAAATAATTCTTTGAAGGAATATCAAGAAGTGTTTAGAGAGTGGGAAAATTTAAATATTATAGAAAAGGTTCCGGAAAAGGAATTAAACAATAAATGCCACTTTTTACCACACAGACCGGTTATTAAGATGAATAGTGAAAGCACTAAGGTAAGACCCGTTTTTGATGCTTCATCTTGTGAAAAGGGAAAACCATCTTTGAATCAGTGTTTATTGAAAGGACCTAATTTAATAGAATTAGTCCCTGATATTTTAGACAGAATGAGATTTTTTCCTATTGGTCTGAGTGCAGACATAGAGAAAGCATTCTTGCAGTTAGGAATTTCTCCGAAGGATAGAGATTACTTGCGATTTTTCTATCCAAGTGATGAGGGAGAAATAGTGTATAGGCACTGCAGAGTAGTTTTTGGGGTTTCCTGCAGCCCTTATCTACTAGGTGCGTCTATTAAATATCTCTTGAATAATTGTCCATCTGACTTTTTAGATGTGGCTGACAAATTAAAAAATTCGTTCTATGTAGATAATTGTATTACGGGTGTTTACAATATTGAGGAACAAGAGGATTTAATTCAAAAGGCCAAAAGTCTTATGTCGAGAGGCAGATTTAATTTAAGGGGATGGGAGAGCAATGTTGCTTCCAAATATACTACAAAACATTCTGGGGACACACCTCTTTTAGGAATATTGTGGAATTTAGACAATGATACTTTAAGGTGTAATATAAATGTAAATATGATAACTTGTGATACTAAGGTAACTAAGAGACTGATTCTGTCTATTGTACAATCAATTTTTGATCCAATTGGAATACTTGCACCAATAACTTTGCTTCCAAAACTTTTGTTACAAGAAACATGGAAGTTGAAATTTTCTTGGGACGAGGTATTGCCTCATGATTTTGTAAGTAAATTTTTTGTGTGGTTATCTGATATACTTTTGTTGAAAAATGTGGCAATACCCCGATTCATTGGAACCTTTGCAACAGTTGAATTGCATGTATTTGTCGATGCCTGCAAATATGCTTATGCAGGATGTATTTTCGCGAGAAGTGTTGATTCATGCAGTGTAAAAACTTACTCTCTTAAGAGCAAAATCTAGAGTAGCTCCTATTAAGAATTTGACGATTCCTAGATTGGAATTAATGTCCTGTTGCATTGGATCCCGATTATTATATTCTGTTTGTAAAGCTCTTAATGATTTTGATATAAATGTAACTTTGTGGTGTGTGATTCCACAGTCGCATTATGGTGGATCAGAAATCCTGGTAATTGGTCAAACTTTGTAAGCAATCGTGTTAAAGAAATTACTAAGTTGACAAAACCTGAATCATGGAGGCATGTGCCTGGTAATATGAACCCAGCAGATGTGTTATCTCGAGGTTGCTCTGCTAAACAAATGATTAACTCGGAGTGGTTTAAGGGACCTCTCTGGCTAAGAGAAAGCCCTGAATTTTGGCCTACCAATATTGTTTGTCAGCCGAGCGAAGCTGACTTGGAAAAGAGGAAGGTAAAACTTATTAATGTTAACTTTTCAGAGGATACCACTCCTTGGTATGCAGAAAGAGTTTCTGATTATGAGAAAATGATTCGTGTAACCGGTTGGGTGTTACGTTTTATTTCTAACTGTAGGAAGAAGTCAAATTTGTGTAAAGAATCTAAACTAACTGTTGCTGAAATCATAAATTCCGAAAAAGTTTTGATTCGGTTGGTTCAAAGCTCAAATTTCCCTGACATTGGAGCTCTTAATCCACTTGATGTATTCATTGATAATGAAAAAATTATAAGAGTTAAAACTAGAATATTGGAACGCAAAGACAATTCTGA